GTGTCGGTGACGAATATGGGGACGGTGCTGAGAGAGGCTGGACCGGGAGGGGCGGTCGCCGACTACAACACTGCGAACCTGCCTGCGGAATCACCGGAATCCTGCGGAATCAAAGATCTCATGCATATGTTTCTATTCGCACGTAGGGGTCAAAGCGAATATATGAACCAGTCACCAGGTCATATGTTTGGCGAATCGCGAAAATTACAGATCACACTTACCGGCCTGTTGAATTCTCATCCAGGCAATAGTGCTGCCTAACACAGAAATTTAGCAAGTGGTCAAAATCTGTCCATCAATCCATTGTTTTCCAAAGCACATTTACATCTTTTTCACCTTACAAATTACCTTCGTATTACGAAGGTACTTCGTAAGAAACCTTTACGAAGCACCTTCGTGAAGGAACGAAAGTGAAAACGAAGAAACATTTTTCCTCTGTGAGACAACAACTCCAGCCAGGAGTTCGCTCTGTCTTTGCCCGACCCCACAATTGCAACCGTGTGGTGTGATGTGGTGTGGTGTGCGGCAGGGTGGCGTACCCGCTGTTCCTGGGCCAGGTGGTGCGCTACTTCAGCGCGTCGAGCGCGGGCGCGGCGCAGGGCGCGCTGGCCGCCGGCACCGTCTCCAAGGGCGAGGCGCTGGGCTTCGCGGGCGGGCTGGCGCTGGCCACGGCGCTCAACGTGCTGCTCAGCCACCACACCAACATGGGCACGCAGGCGCTGGGCATGCGCGTGCGCGTCGCCGTCAGCTCCCTCGTCTACCGCAAGGTGGGTACGGCTGCCCTGCCCTGCCCTGCCCTTCCTATCCACCGGGCAGGACAGGACAGGACAAGACCTAGTGTGCATTTTGTTGGGTCCGCCTGTCTCTAATAAGACTTTTCGTCCATGTTTTATTTTTATGTCGGGTTGTCTGCGGGTTTGTTGCAACCCCTCTCCCCCGTACAGGGACGGGGATTGGGAGCCGGGGTAGTGAAGTGACGGGTAGTTGCGTTAGGGGTTTGAGGGTGGGGGAAAGGGAGAGGAATGGATTTAGGAGGAGAATGGGATGGGATATAGAAGGGATTAGGAATATTTAGTGTTCGTCTTGGGCTCAAAGCGAGTCAGTAGTGAGTCTGTGGTGTAAGTCGTCTTTGTCGCTTCATATTGTTTCCACCCTCTTGCCTAGGTTATGGGAGGAGGGCGTTGCAGGATGTCGAGGAGCTGTTTAACCACCGGCTGAGGGCGCTCAGGCAGAGGCGGAGACACAAAGGGCTTCGGGGTGGGGCATATCAAGTTCGGATCCACAGAAGCGTTTTTATATTTTACTCATACGCTATTGCCTTTTATTGCCTTCGATACGGAGCTCGTTATACTTCATAATGTACCTGAAGTACCCTTCAATTCAATTCAATTCAATTCAATTCAATACCAGAATCGAGACGATCGTGGGGAAGAGGGAATACGAAAACAGTTCAATTAGGCTTCATGTGATTTTATGGAAGGAATTATGGGAGGGAAATATCGTTAGGCGAAGGAAATATAACTTGACAACCCAAGTCAAGTTAACATGCAGTTAATTAGTAAATACGTTCATCTGAATCGTTAAAATTAGGTAAAAAATAAAATATTGTATACATCACAGGCGTTTCCCAGTTGTAATGATCGAGTGGTGATGCAAAGTTCTAGGGTCTTTGGCCCTTGAGCTCTTTGTCGCCGCTCGATTATTAGAACCCTTATCCCTTGATGCATAAATAACTATTAAAAATTACTTTCTTTTAGCATTCAATAAAAATATACGCGTAATTGGACTACTCCTTTGCGTGTGGTTAGTTGAACAGGTGGTAACTAAATTTGAGTAATTATATAGTCACGTAGTGAATTGAGTTTAAAAAAAAGCGGCTGGGGGGAATTTGGCCCTCGCGATCTCCGTCGATCTCACGGGCTCAGGCCAACGACTGGCTCAGGGAGGTCCTAGGGGGCGAGTCCCGAATGTTGCGTAGTTTTCGACATTTCCTGGATGGCTAGGTCGAGTTCAGGCTAATCCCAGCGGACGGCTGGTCCGATCGGCAGTTTTCCGTAGTTTCCCCTACGATACCGCGCGAATGCCGGGGTAGATCCCACTTGTTGCGCGGCGCAGGTGCTGCGCCTGAGCCAAAGCTCGCTGGCGCGCACGGCGGCCGGCCAGCTCATCAACCTGCTGTCCAACGACGTGGCCCGCTTCGACCAGCTCTTCATGTACCTGCACTACGTGTGGGTGATGCCGCTGCAGACCATCGTCATCACCTACTTCATGTGGGAGGCCGTGGGCGCGGCGGCCTTCGTGGGCGTCGGCTCGCTCTTCCTGCAGACGGTGCCCGTGCAGAGTGAGTATCCAGTCCGGCAACTCTTACGTGCACTCGACTCTAAAGTGTTGTGCAGGTTATGTTCTGCGAGGGGCGATAAGCCTAGTCATGGTAATTTTATCGTTTTATCGATATTTCGATACATAACCAAAAGGTTTACGATGTCGATAAACACATACAAAAACCTCGATGTTTAAATATATAAGTTACTTAAGTGAGGAGTACATAAATGAAATACGTTTCCAGTATATTTTATTGTTCGGTCACATACAAATAATATGTTAATAATAATGTTTAAGGAATGAAAAGAAGGAAATAAAAAATAAAGGACATCATGTTTTGCTGTTATTCCAATAATATCACTCTGATTCACAAATCATCGAAGTAAAACGTCATATATCTAATACACATAATGCGTAAATATTAGTTTAAAGTATATCCTGCCTGGACATTTAATTTTCTATTCTATATTCTATGCAGACAAGGTTCAAAATGCAGTTTAAACGATATTTCTACGTACAAAATCATCGAAAGAGATGAAATAATATTTTTGTACTCATCGATGTTTCCGGAAAAATATGTGGATCTGAAAATTCCTCGAAAACAAAACATCAATGGTTTTTGCCATCCCTAGGCGGCCTCAGACAAGCTCTAATCTCCCGACAGGCCTCCTGACATTTGTGATCGTGTAGTTCATGTAGGTGTAAGTTTGTGTGTATGAATGTAAGGATTGGGGAAGGGAAATGATGAGGAAGTAAACAGTGGACCATTTATTACGGTACTGCTCCGGCAATCGCCTGGTATTCATCAAAGAAATGAAAATCTACCAATGAAAGTAACCTAGAATTCTCCTCCAGACAGTGTATGAATTCCTCCCGGCTCTACAGCTAGTGTCAGACGTTAGCAGATGGAGGGGCGGAACGTTCAAAAATTGAAAAAAACAACAACAAAGAACTAATGAATAATTGAATATCTTAACAAAATTGACGCCAAAGCAGTTATCGATTGACGAGTAGACTAGTGAAACGAATACTATCTTCGAATTGACTAACGAGACAATTCTTTGCACAACTATCTGGATGCAACCTAAGAATGCTCTTAGGAATACTTTCTCTTAGATGTTCCTAAGTTTGTGTTTGAGTTCCTCGATTTGAACATAATTATCATTATTCATTGATTTGAAAATTTTATTAAGTCAACACCTAAATTTGGATAAATCATGTGTCGCAGAAGCAAATTAATAATTTTCAGCGAGGGACAGTAGAATCTCTAGGACCTCTTCCAAGTGACGAAAGTCGGCGGGGACGAATGACAATTCGCACTCTGCAATTCCTATCCGCTGACCCGGTAGATCGACATTTGTTTCGTGAGGTTACTTGCCTCTGTATCCTGCTTAACTGGCTCTCATAAGGCCGAGCCTGGAATATTAACCCGCGTCCGATAACTGTTTCTCATTAACTGTAATGACACCTTCCGTGTCGGTTCATGCGCATCGTCCTTTCACACTACCAGCCTCCTACTTCCCGTTTAGCCACAGGCTTGTCATACCAGACCTAATTATACCGTCAGGTATTGACTCATCTTACAACAATTCTTCTTGAATTCATCTGTTTCCTACCAACAGCCTACCGCTATTCCGTAGCAGTATCGTAACATGCTCTCAATTTTCGAGCAGGCGTCTATAACATTTCAGTAGGATGCACCATTTTCAGAATTATTTTCGCATGAACAGCTAGGTGGAGTCCCGGCGTCCTTCACGTCCTTCGCAACTGAAGTCTCCTGCCGATTTACTTCGCCTGTCACAATATGTGACATCAGAAATATTTTCCAGGCGGAAGAACGCGGTAGAGTGTGGTAGACCTTGCAAATTTAAGTACATTCTGTTCGTATTTAGTTAAAATACGGATTTAAAAAACTGATTGGTTGTCTTTTGAGAACCAGTGTACATGCATTTGTGAAGAATGTCGCTTAATGACGAAACAGTTAATGGATAAGTACAATTCATTTAGACGTCAAGAGTGTTGCTTATGACGGCCGAAACTTTGACGGTGTTGTCTACGACACGTCATCTGTTATTTCATTTCCCGGTCAGTTACGGGGCTTCAACAGCCCCCCCCTCCCATCGTTCCTGTGAGTTTGCGCTGCCCTTCAAAGGGAGTCCAGAAAGTATTTCAGGGAAATGACAATTTTCGTTATATCCCATACGCATTTTTGTTGTAAAAAATAAAAATTGAAACCTGATGAAACACCGAAGAAGCCGTCAATAGCTTTTTTTCTTGGAACGGACTAATTTTCCCATAAGACCCTATGTAAATATTTCCTGTTGTATGCGGTCCTGTAGGTCCTCTGTCAGCGGCCGGCCACGTTTCATAGGTTAACCTAGATTAGACGGCCACAACTTCCTCACGAACTTCTTCATTAATTCTATAATAAATGGATGGCAGGCAGATATGTTAACGTTTATTCAATGTTTTCCCACGGACACTATTCTTTAGTGAGTAACTTCTTATGTCGCGACGCAATAGATATCGCACAACAGTAAAATCTAAGAGTAAGTGCTTATTCTAGTACTGTATTTCAGACATGAATGTTCTTCAAATATCAAGTTTCTTCAGAGTGTGAATTACAAGAATAGTTGAAAATAAAGTCCACGAATGGGGTGAAGTAACGAGAAGTAGAGTTGAGAGAGAAGAGTGCAATTCCGCCAATTAGGCCACATGTGCCACAAGTCCCTTTCTCTTTTGTCCCATTACTCATGCTTAGCGTTTTCTCATTATCTACATTAAGCGGCCATCTGAACTAACGGTTATTTTTTCGTAGAAACCACTTGTGACCGCCTAAGACAGGGATTACTGCGTATTCATAATGAGAATACTTCATTTGATGCGACGCGATAATTGTATGGTAATTATTTTGAACAAATTTTGCAAAATTACAGGAACAAATACTGTCTTGTTTGTGTGAGCGTAAACGGAGGCACGTCCCCGTGATCCGCCACTGCTGCCCTACTGGCTTGTGTGTGTGTGTGTATGTGTGTGTGTGTGTGTTGTTATGGGAGGGATGACCCTCTGACCCGACACTGCTGTCCTGCTGGCTTGAGAATACGTGTGTGTGTGTGTGTGTGTGTGTTTTGAGCCATGTCCCCGATGCGCCTCTGCAGCCCTGCGAGTGGGTGTTGTTATGCGCATGCGCAGGCTACCTGAGCAAGCTGACGGGGCGGCTGCGCATGCGCGTGGCCCAGCGCACGGACGAGCGCGTGCGCCTCATGGGCGAAATCGTGGCGGGCATCCAGGTCATCAAGATGTACGCCTGGGAGAAGCCCTTCCAGGCCCTCATCGAGTCGGCGCGCGCGTGAGTACTCCGCCCAAACACGTCATTTTCATCGGTCAGTTTCCACGTCAGTAGGTCGGTTAGGGCATACACTGACGCCCACTACCCTCAGATATGAACTCTACCATGTTACACCTTTGATAACGTTACATAGCCTTCCCTACCATCATACCTTCGCAGCCCTTAGCCTCATAGTGACCAATAACCTTTGATCACCTGCAGCCAGTAGGCTCTGAACGGTATTTAGAACCAGTTACAGTTTGGTAGGTTAGGTGGCTGGTAGACGATGCGCAAAGAAGTTCGTAAACCCTCAGACTGCACATCTTACCCACTGGCAAGTGAACACTCTTAAATATTCCTAGATATGTTTCGATCAGACGAAAAGAAAGGAACTATTATTGTTATTTTCTAGTGTACTTGAACGCGGCTGCGAACGTTCTCACGATTACGATGTGTACCGCTCGCCCCTCACGTAGGACGTTTCAGGTCTGAAGGTAAACAGTAAAACCTTTATAACACACCAATGATTTGACTGTGTCTAATTCTCATTTTTCTCATTACGTTTCCTCATCTCTACCATTACGGTTCATTCATAACATGTATGATATTACCGTCGGTCTGCGGAACTCAGCACGTGTTCGAAAACTGTGTGAAAGTCACGCGTGCTTTTTGGTCCGACAGTCCTGATGGCCATCCCAATTCTTTGAGATATTCACTATTTCGCCCTTTAAGAGCATGCGTCCTCCAGCTTACAGCAAATAATCTGCTATTGTATAATATTTAGAAATACTGTCCCCATGTTACAACGAAGAGTATTCCACCAAGGTCGCAGTACACGCGGTAATTATTATCGCGTTTAAGATTTGCAGTTAATGCAAATAATTACTGATGCAATTATGAGCCATAAAAGTAATTTTATAAATTAAATATTGGCACATTTCATTGAAATAAATATACTTAATAGTGAAATATCTCGCTGGTGCGCAATCATGATTTCAGTGTGCCATCTGCCATCCAAATTTCTACAGTAATGCAAACTACAAGTGACGAGCAGCTACGGACGTTCATATATAATGTTAGCGTCGAATTTACAGAAGATGCAACAACTATGCACAAGAGTATATATGCTGACCGTTTGGCACAGAAACTATGGCAAATAGTCATGCAAACAACAGCCGTTGGTCGTTCGTACTATCTACAATCACATATCATTCATTGCTGAAACGAGGTCAGTGCAACACGTAAGTTGTTATCACTAGAGAGGGCAGAAAGCAACTACAGAAGGAGGGAAAGGTAGGCATCCAGGCACTAAAATATCGTAGTCACATAAAATAATGCAGTATTTTGTGCTCTGCAGCACTTCTATCGGTCGCAAACTCGCACTTATGTTGTCATTGCCATCTCTTGAGCTACTTAGATCTCTTGAGAAATGTAGGTCTGAAATTGCCAATAGGCGAGCAAACATCTCAGTTATGTTATGAATGTTAGACACGGAACTATTTTCGTAGAGGTGATATACCAACAGGTAACAAATTCGTAGTAAGCTAACCTCTTCCATTAAAGCCACTATTTTGGCACCTTAACAGACAAGTTCCTGACTCTACTTAAAGTGGAAGGTGAACGCGTTTCTATCATTTCTGTAGGATCTGGGATAAGGAATTATCCTCCAAAGTTCTTTCGGAATTTAAATACCTATTGTTTAGTAGCTTCATTTACAATCTACTTTATAAAATATATAATTCATAGACATATGCAACAAAGCTATTAAGAAAAAGAATGGTGTTTTGTAAAGCATCGCTGGGTTTACCACCTAACAGAATCAATCTTTAACTTGGAATTCGTGACGTAACGATAGATTGGAGTCGAGGCAATCTTCACCACCATTTCACCATTTCAAGACAGTGTAGGTTTGTGTAACCTAATGCAGTTATGGCGATGCAAATAGAGACGTTTTTTCTAATTTCCATTCCCAGGTGATGGAATCACAACCTGCTATGAAATTTTCATTGTATTCTGGGACGTCAACACACTTAAATTTTAAAATTACACTTGATACTTTTGACACTACTCTACACAAGTTTTTCACTACTAATAAGCACACAATTAAAACATATTCAATCATAACGTGCCCAACTACAACAGCCTCTAAAAACATTCTTATAAACTGTGTATTAGTGTTTTAATATAATACAAGAAAGATCCCAAGTTTTTTAAAGACTGCCTTGGACGTTTCACATTTCAAAGTCAATTTCAATTTAACAAGTTTGTACTTCAAGGGGTTATAAAGCTAAATTTCCATCTTCTTATAAATTCATGTCCGTCGAAGCACCTAACAATGACAGAATTGTTGAGACGTCATTATTGTACAGTTCTTCAGAGAATTTGCATAACTGTATTTTTTAAAACCGAGCAAAGTAGCGCAGGGCATAACACGCTAACCTCTCATTCGGGAGACTCGAGTTCAATCCTCGTTCCGGCCATTCTAGCTGAGGCTTTTGTGGTTTCCCTCGGTCATCCAGGAGAATGCTGGGATTGTTCTACTTAAAGGTCACGGCCGCAAAACTAGCGTCGCTAGCCGAATTCCTAACTACGTGTAGTCAAGAAGGTTATGTAAATTTAAGATATTGCGGGTAACTGGTTGGGTGACAGACTAGGAATCCCGGCATCTAACGGCGCCTAAGCCTATTGCTTTTGAAAATGGCTAAATACAAATACAAAAAAAAAGTTTGAAATATTTTAATAAACCGTTCTTACTGAAATGTCTTTCACGAACATGCGATCTATATTGTACAATGTTATACAAATATAAGACAGTGTCACGTGTGCGTGTGCGCAGGCGCGAGGTGAAGGTGCTGCTGCACGCGTCCTACCTGCGCGGCGTGTACCTGGCGTTCATGGTGTTCTCGGAGCGCTCGTCCCTCTTCTTCACGCTGCTCGCCTACGTGCTGCTAGGCCACGAGCTGTCGGCCGACAAGGTCTTCATGCTGGCGCAGTTCTTCAACGTGCTGCAACTCTCCATGGCCATCTTCTACCCCAACGCCGTGCAAATGGCCGCGGAGGCGTCCGTCTCCGTCACGCGCATCGAGGTACTGCGAACACACCACGTTGAGACGTTCAGATCAGATTTAGAACGGAGTTGCCCAAAGGGGTCGGCATCGACCCCGGGGGGGTCGGCATCGACCCCGGGGGGGTCGGCATCGACCACCCAGGGTCGGCATCGACCCAGGGTCTGCATCGACCACCCAGGGTCGGCATCGACCCTGTGGGGATCCCTGGTGATTTGTATTGATCCATGGGGTCTGCATTGACCCCCTGGGTCGATGTTAATTTGAAGGAGGTCAGTCATGATGAAGCGGTCTATTGCAGGTCTGTGGCCGAATATGAACCGGCGACTGATAGAAATAATCAAGATCCCATTGATTACAAAAAATATTAATGTACGGTACTTAATTGTGTTTTATACAAAGAAACAAAACATATAACAATAACTCACGTCCCTTCTTTCGTGTCTACCGAAGGTGGTCAATAACTGCCCTTCCTAACGCTCTCGTGTCTAGAAAACGTGGCATTTTAGAAGTATCCGCAGAATCGTCAATTTTTACTGGTCTTCTATCTATTCCGTCCAAATAGCTTCTGACAGTTATCATAAGGAGTAGTATTTTTTAATGTTGAGATGGTAATAAGTGAGTGTTGAGAATATGTCTGCTTAATTGAATTTCATGAAATATAAGCAATTTTTAATCAGGGAATGCCAATTACCATGTTTTATCGACTCCTTTTCAATAATTTTTTGCTCCATAGACCCTTACATTGTTCTGTATAATATACATACCATACATAATCATTCACAGTACTAAGAATTGCATATAAATGTTTAAAGGTAATAATTATCAACACCATTTTTTTGTAAATATTTAGATTTTCAATAGTTGTAAACGCCTCCGCCTCTGAAAACCTGAAAATCTTCGTTGTTGTATAAGTTTCCAAACTATGGAGCCCTTTTTTAACTCTTCATAACATTTCTCCAGTGCCTATTACAGAGATATTTTCTTCCACAATAGAGTATGGTTGTGAATATATAGTTATAATTAGTTTAATGTTCTAAACATCCTAAGAATTTGCGTAGTTAGGTCCTCGGATGAAGAAAGTCGAAATGGTCCTAACTGCAAAAGAGTTTCAAATTTAAATGATATAAGAATATGGTTGGTGCAAATGAGAAAATGAGCATGGAGTGTGGTTTATTTTTTTGTTTGCTGATATCCGTCCTCGGGGGTCCTTATTAAGGGTCACTTCGGTGAACCGAAAGGATCGGGAATTCTGCCGAAGCTCAATAAGAGAGCAGTATGAAAAAAACAAATGCAAAACCATGCAGTCTATAGGATTGTAGACTTAATGGGCACAATAAAATCGGCTAGAAGCAAATGAAAAGTTGATTTCAGATTGTGTTCAGGATTGGGTGTGGTTATGGGTATGAACATAACAGACCATCCTGAACACAATCTGTTAGTTGAAGCAAATGAGAGAACGATCTCGAATCGAAAGTTGTGTTCAGGATTGTCTGTCGCTATGTACATGTCATTATATGTTGTTTGTGGTTTTGTCGTTTCATTGTTCTTATATAGTGAACTACTTTGCGAATGGTTTTGTTGCGAGTACTGAATTCAAAGTAAGAATTTGAGCCATTTTTCTTGTGACTTTAATTTGACACGGCGAATAAAACAATTAGGTTCGACGAATTAATCGCGGATTTTGTTAGAAAAGAATCGTTGTTTGTAAAATAAAGGATATAAAAGCCCAAATACAATTACTCGCATGTACAAAAGACTTAGACAGGAAAACCGTAGAAAAAGGTAGAAACGAATCAACCAAGCTTCAATACGCTCAATTCTGACTGGTTGAGGCAAAACTTAACTTCATTGTAAACGTAGACGTAAATCCATAAACTTACGAGTTCAGAAGCACCAAGCTTTTACACTGAAGTTTACTTATACGTATAAGTTTACCGTCTTTTTACGTAACATATGTACTGCTAAGTTTACGGCCTTAGGATTCGGTTAAGTTCGCATTGCGACCGAGGCCCTACTGACTGCGCCCGGCGCGGCGCACTCCAGGCGGAGGTGTCCTGAAGCGCGCTTTGTTCCCGCGACAGGCGTTCCTGCTGCTGGAGGAGCAGCGCCAGGCGCTGGTGGGCGCGGGCGCCGACGCGCTGGCCGAGCCCCCGGAGAAGGCGGAGCGCATCGAGAACTCGGTGGCGCTGCTCGCGGTGGCCCGCGCGGGCGAGGGCGAGGGCGGCGGCGGGGGCGGGGGCGGGGGCGAGGGCGGCGTGGACATCGACCGCCTGCGCGCGCGCTGGCTGCCCAACGCCATCACAGACACCCTGTCGGGCGTCACCCTGCACGTGCCGCCGGGCAAGCTGTGCGCCGTCATCGGGCCCGTGGGCGCCGGGAAGGTGAGCTTACGAGGGCGTACGCTTCCGTGGCCGGAGGCAGTATTTACTTGGCTGTCCGGGTGACGCCGCGTCCATGGCGAAGGTGCCGACGTTACGACCTGAGGAAGGTCGCAGAATGGCGATCGAAACGTCGGCACCTTCGACATGGACGCGGCGTTACCCGGACAGCCAAGTAAATAGGTGAGCTTATAGCGCCGCACAGAACCCCCCTCCCCCTCCACGGCATAGGGAGGGGGAGCTTCAGCGACGTTCGTGAGGCTGATAGCAACAGTAGGTTCGTCAGGCTGACCTAGAGTAGTGCTAAAGAAAACGCATCACCTTCCTCACAGATGGAAACTGCAATACAATTCTAAAAATACACCCCTTGGTTTGCAAAAATCGAGCGAGTTATGAAGGTAATGGAATCAAAAACATCATACTCGTATAATCCACATAAAACATACGATTAAAACATTCCACTAAGAATTGTTTAAAGTTTTTGAGAGCAGATTGGATTAGAAAAGACAGAATGCCTATTTTTTTTAGGTGATGTGGTTTTATTAGCACTACTGAACATAATGAGTGCATATGCTTCCGCGGCCGGGGTGAGTAGTTAGGAGACGCCGCGTTCTAGTATTTGACTGCCATTCTGCGACCTTCCTCTGAGGAATATATTTTTGACCTGAGAAAGGCTTTTCGCCCCGAGGAAGACATTTCTCTCCGAGGAAGGTCGCGGAGGCAGGACAGCCAAGTAGCTAATTACCTATATCACGTTGCCGTCGAAGTGACAAACGCGTCACGCTCTGAACAAGGATTCTGCACGGTGGCTGAAGCTTTGCAAACAATTCTCATATCTTAAAGTACTCCTTCAGCCAAGATCCCAACATTAACTTTTTTTATATCACAGTACCGTAAAAATATGATTTTCCTTCAAAGCAATCATTCACATTAGAAAGTGAACTCAGTGTTTTGTTCACCAGTATTTTCCAAGGGAATATCAGTGTGTGAAAAAAATGTGAGAAGGGAGTGAGAGAGCCAGAAGGGAGACAGAGCGAGAGAGAGCGAAAGAGCGAGCGAGAGAGAGACCGAGAGCGAGATAGAGCGAGCGAGAGAGCGTGCGAGCGGGAGAGGGCGAAAGATCGAGAGAGAGCGAAAGAGTGAGAGTGAGGAGGGAGGGAGAGCGAGGGAGATGGTGGGAGATGGAGAGGGAGGGAGAGCGAGAGTGAGCGAGAGTGAGCGAGAGTGAGCGAGAGCGGGCGTGCGCAGACGTCGCTGCTGCTGTCGCTGCTGGGGGAGCTGCCGCCGGTGGCGGGCGAGGCCAAGGTGGGCGGGTCGGTGGCGTACGCGGCGCAGGAGCCCTGGCTGTTCGCCGCGTCGCTGCGCAGCAACGTGGTGTTCGGGCGCGCCTTCGACGCGCGCCGCTACCGCGACGTGGTGCGCGCCTGCGCCCTCACGCGCGACATGCAGCTGCTGCCGCAGGGCGACAAGACGCCCGTGGGCGACCGCGGCGCCGCGCTCAGCGGCGGGCAGCGCGCGCGCGTCAACCTCGCCAGGTGAGCGCACGCCACGTACCTCCCTTCTTCTATCCCTCTCTCTGTCTCTCTAACTCATTTTCTCTCTCTTACTTATTACACCAACTTCTTTTTTCTTTCACCTCCCCAATCTTTCCTCTTTCACCTCCTCAATCTTTTCCCTTTCACCTCCCCAATCTTTTCTCTTTCACACACACACACACACACACACACACACACTCCTTTTCTCACCCACACATAGACACCTGTTCTCTCTCATAATCTTTTGTCTCTCTCTCTCCCTCACCTTTCTCTTTCTCTCCTTTTCATTCTTACCTTAACTCTTAAGATTAAAATGACGTAATGAGTTCTTAGAATAAATGTCAAAATTCTAAGCCATGAATTGAGATCAAAGATTTTATGCTAATCAACATGTGGTGGAAAATCTGAGAAAACAGATTCACACATGTAGCATTTGCAGTTGATTGGAAGGCAACTTCTTTAAAGTTCATTTCGTACACGTTACTTGCACTGCGTCAGAAAGTTTAACTTGCAAAACACCAATATACGACTAGTTGCCTAGAAATGAGGAGCAATTCCTGTTGCGACATTTGTGACCGTTCTTTTTGGGAGAATTGCGTATAGAATTGAGTTAGTAATTTTACGAGAACCATCTACAAGCAAAGAAAACAAGAATTTCGTAAACTGCTTCTTGCCCGTTTCTTGTTTCTGCTTCCAAAAAGTTTCCTCCTCCGGCTTTTGTAAATTGCAAAATCTGAGTGTCAAAAAACAGTCTCATTTCGGCCGCATCTCACCATACAACCTACACTATTTCTCATTTCCTCGTGCGAGTGACGACGTTTTGTTGATAAAACGTGCTTTAAACTTATTATTTCCCCGGATACAGTCATACCCCGGGCACTTGTAAAAATTTAGTATATCTTCACTCAAACGTTTCATCATTGAAATCCTGAAGATCTAAGTATCAAATGATCACGAACTCTAATCGTGTTCTTCTTATTAGTTCCGTCTCGCGTTATTAGTTTGATTGTATTTTGGTTTAGCGCTACAGACATGGATACAGCTTCTTGTGCTTCATCTACACAACGCTCCCATAGTGAATCGCGCTATCAGAATTTCAAACAAATCTCTTTCTAGACAAGACACGGAATAATTTCAGCTCGCCTACTGCGATTCCTAGTACACCTTTATTCGCGATTAGCCAGCGCAGGTCAATGACGATCAGGGCCGGATTTAGTTAGTACGGGTCATCCAAGCACAAATTCGGTTGCTCCCCCTCCGGAAAACTAAAACTTCAGATTTACTAAATTAAACATCAATAATTTTTAATGTTAAAAACAAAATTTTAAGAAGACAAAATTAATTAACAATTACTTTACACATACAAAAGCAGTTTATAACAATTTCTTCAATTAAACGATTTTGGGGGGGGGGCGGAGGTCTCCCTGTGGATGGCGGCCCATAAGAAACTACCTATTTTGCTTGCAGGTAAATGAGGAACTGAGCACGGTGCTCTATGAACTTCTCGGTGAGCTACAGACGCAGCTCGTGTTCGCAATGGAAGCGTGGTGACCGCAACAGCACGAGATTTAGCGTTCACAGGCATATCGAAGCCCCAAGCTATACTGTGCCAAATACTTGATCATGTTTTCACACGTTAAATTTTCGTCAATTTTACAAAACAAGATCTGTTTTGCAAAATTTATTTAGCTCTATCGCTTTAATTTTGCTTTATTTTGATGTCGTTGATTTTAATTTATTATGTTGACTGATAGAAGATAAATGTACATACACGCAAAACAAAACAAAACAAGGAAAGAAAGAAAGAAAGAAATGAAATCGTAGGCCGTGGCCAGAATCATGTGGAGGCTCTCGGCTGTTCGGGTGTTGCCGAGTCGAGGGCAATGACATCGTTTTGTGATCGTGGCCTTCTTCATTCAGACACTCCGGATCTGACGAAGACCGCGATTGGATGGTCGAAAAGACAGCATCAAAGCCCTCGATGCAGCGCCACCCGGTCAGCAAAGAGCCTTCAAACTAAAGAAAAAGTTATTCTTGCCCAGAAATTCGCGATAATTTTGCGCTTATTGAGAAAGTTAGTCAATTTCCCTTCAAACCAACTTTCTCGCGAGAACGCACAAAAATATTTAGACTATATTCGTAATCCCAATCGTAAATTTCATCAACATTACCTGAAATCGCTTTAAATGATCGTTCATGTGAAGAACTCTCGCCAGTCTCCTCGTTCCTTTCCTTACCGGTTCGCTTCTCCTCGGAGTCCTCTATTTTCCTTTCGGAGCAGCTAGTCGAGCGTCTCACACAGCTCGTGAGTGCAAGCAAACTCCTAAGAGCAGTTCCCTGATCAGGCCTGTCCCACACAAAGCGCCCTTCACGGCTTGCAAGACCTCCGTGTTAAAGACACTCTTCAAGGACAACTTGAAGACACTCTTCACACTCTCTGAGCGCAGGGCGGTGTACCGTGACGCAGACATCTACCTGCTGGACGACCCGCTGTCGGCCGTGGACGCGCACGTGGGCAAGCACCTCTTCGACGAGTGCATCTGCGGATTCCTCAGCGACAAGACGCGCATCCTCGTCACCCACCAGCTGCAGTACCTCAAAGACGCCGATCATATCGTCATCATTAACAACGTAAGTATGTTACGTCTTCATGAAAACGACATGTGCTGTAGAGTAGGAAACGAGTTAGGCTTGTTCTCACTTGCAAATAAGTTAGCAATTGCCAAGAACAATTACCCATTTATAATATAAAACAAAAGACTTTTGTTCTCTTAAAAGAACACGTTCTAGCAGATGCGCGCGTCCATGACATTTTTCGGATGGGGGGGGGGGGGAGAGTGCAGTATGGTCCAGCCGACTTGATGCTTTGTTATAAAGAACGTATTTATTCTTTGTTACTAAAAAATTTTAATTTTCTGAACATAATTAATATTCATAACTATTGATAATAGTTGAATGACTTTCTTGGATTACAACAAATAGACAAACTTATATTTTATATAGGTTTTTATTCGCCGTGGGGGTCGTAGTACCCAGGAGCCCTCCCCCCCCCCCAGGGTCACCTCATAAATAAATCTGTAAAATTTCATCGTAAATCTGTAAATCTTTACCCGAGTAATTCTTTATCTCGCAGTCGACAACTTACGAGATTTTCTGTTTGTTTCTTAGTAAAGTTATAAAACTGACATATTTCCTTAATGTGTTTTATACAAGTGTCTAGAATTACCCGCTCTAAATGACTGCATCGTATGCACCATCTCATCATGAACAAGAACCTATTAAACGTTTCTGCAATACCTTCATCGTAACGCAAAAAACACTTCTTAGAAGAAAGTGTATTCACCGGTGTCATTCTCAGAAAGTGCTGGTTCTTTACAGCTACAGCTCTTTCTGTGAATATCTTTCTGAATATCTGTGAATGACTTTTCGCTATCGGTGAGGTCACGGAGCAAAGTACGGGATCCATTTCCGAGACCTTACAGAAAAGTAGAGGCTTATCCTTACTGCGACGACAGTGCCTGGACTCGCGACTGGTTGTGCAGACGGTATCAAGACAAACCATGAAGATTTCGTCGCAGCGCAGCCGGTGAAATAATATTTGGAACCATTGAAGGCTTTAAAGTTCTCGAGGAACGTACGGCGAAATGAGCGTCGGATGTCTGGATCAATGACCCTCATCTCGATCAGGTTTTTGTCTACAATAGTTTCCCTGATCCTCGAGCAAATGCTGAGAAGGCCCAATGATTTGCTTCTGGACATAAATGTACCTTCAAATTAACTTCTCCCCATAGCACGTCACACACACTTTTTATATGTTTTGACGTAAATAAATAAAATAAAAGTGAATATATAAAATGTCTGCCTCTTGCAAAATGTACCCTGCGCGAGTTTGTACGGAAGCCTTATGCATGACCCATTGTAAAACCGGTGCAACTCTAATCTATCGCGTCGAATTTTAAAATATTTTGGAAAGATTGCGGTCATTTTAAGTGAATTAGAAGCGGGTAAGTTTCGACGCAGTTAGCTAGGCGGCCAAGTCGGACAATCGACCCCAAAATGCCAAACACAAGTTTCGACTCGCTGTACGGCGAGCAAGGGGATAGAAAATGTTCTTTAGTCCGGTTTTCTCTTGTTGCGCCCCTGCCCCCGAAAGCGAGTTCTGTCTGCACTGCTGTGCGTGCTTGCAGGGGCGCGTGGAGGCGCAGGGCACGTACGCGTCGCTGTCGGCCAGCCGCATCAACTTCTCGGCGCTGCTGGCGCGCAGCGAGAGCGACCTGGGCGAGGCGAAGCCGCCCACGCGCCGTCCCCGCGCCCGCAGGCACTCCTCCATCGCCTCCTCCGTGGTGAGTGCTCTGCCGGGCTTCTGGCTAACGCCTGGACTCCGATTAAAACAGTACCCCTTCAAGAGCACGAGCTGGCATGCACTCTGTCATCCAATCACGAGCTTTGTTACCACTTTAAATTTTGGTACTGTAGCTCCCGGTTGGATGAGTGTGTGTCCCTCTCTTTTCAGCTTGTGACCTCGAAAGGACTCTCTGTTTTAAGCTAAGTATAGATCATGTTGAGGGATGCAAGTGGATAACGTTTTGCCAATGAACATATGATGGGAAATCTTATAAAACGATGTTACACATTTGATATTTGTTTCTGATATTTGTGTTCTGTAGAGAACTCATCTTGCTATGGTGCTTCGCAGGAAGTCAAAAACTCTGTGGCTTTGTAAAAAAAATGTGTACCGCCACGCGTTTGATGAGGGAAGAATAAACACCCCGAAAAGTTAGCTACCTAAAAACAACTTCCGCGGATGGAGTCAATAGAGTTTCGGCTGACGGAGACGCCGAGGCCTAATCACATTTCGCCATGTGGAAATTCACAGTGTAACACAAACGTTACACACAGATTTAAACATAGTGGCACTTCCAGAGAGAGAGAACACTGCCATCCAGTAGAGAGCTTCGTTACGACTTAAAAGTTTTTATATTGGAGCTCCCTACTGGATGACAGTGTCCCTCTCTCCTTCCTGCTCCTGTCTTTGAAGTGCCTCAAGGTTTAAATCGAAATGTAGCAACTGTGCCTCGGACACGGCGTCTGCAGGGCAACCAATAACCTAACACATTCATTGACCGACACCCCACCGCAACCTGACAGATGAGCGCTGCAGCACGCGCGTGCGTTTGGCAGAGCGGCGGCGAGTCGGCGGCGGGCGCGGACGGCTCGGCGGCGGCGGCGGCGGGGGCGGGTGCGGAGGCGGGCGAGGCGGCGGGGGCGGCGGCGGAGGACGAGGACGAGGAGGCCGACGAGGCGACGGAGATGCTGGCGCGCGGCGCTCTGGAGGGCTCGCTCTACCTGCGCTACATCGGCGCGGGCTCGGGGCCCTTGCTGCTGGCCGGCGTCACGCTCCTGCTGCTCCTCGGGCAGCTCGCCGCCAGCGGATGCGACTTCTGGGTCACCTTCTGGTACGTACCGGTCTCCGGTGCGGTATCAAGTCCGTTGACGCTTGATCAGCTGTCAGCCGATCCAGGAACCTTGATCGTCACTATAGTGGCGTTTAAGCGCCCGAATGGATCACAGCCGATCAAGAGTTAACGGACTTCATGCTTTAATCATAGTAGAGGTTGCGATTTTCGCCAGATTCGAGCGCACCGGTGATTGAGAAATCGTGGGTTCCATCACGGCAAAGACATAGAAATTCTCACAGTCATTTAGCATCAGTGAGTTTGTGTCCCCTGACGAAATATAATTCGTGGACCGGATGATCAGATCAGTGATCACTTGCAGGCTTATACCGGAGCAAAACATCATATAACGAGGTCATGGAGAGGACTACGCGTGATTGATACGATATTTTTATAACATTATGTTCAATTCTCAATTCATTAGAAGCATTCAGAATACAGTAAAACGTGCTCAATGCGGAACGAGAACAATGCGGAAATCTTGGTAATGTGAACATAAATCGCGGTCCCGGCAAGCGTAAAGTCCGGAATATTACACTGCGTAATGCGGAATCTTGTCTAATACTGAAAAAATATATTGGTTCCTTGAGATTCCGCAATGAGCAAGTTTTACTGCATATAGTTTCTTTAGTTTTTAATTTCATTCTAGATCACATTTTCGGGTTATTTTTAGATTGATCAGTATCATATCTTAATATTAAAAAAAGTTTCGGTTTCAAAATTATTCTTCTACGTAATGGTCGGTTTCATAATGTTCTGAAACATTTTTAGCACAGCAGTGCATAGTATCATAGCATATCAGCAGTCCTCGTAGCAAAATGTGCTATTTATGAGGCATAGGTTTCTGTATCATTTTTATGCTTTCTCCATAGAATAGTAATAAAAAATTGCGGATAAAATTTCTAAGTTAATCTATTTTTACTAATTAAATTGTTTACGCAATTGTTTCTTATATATTTTTACTCTCTTCTTACATTTTATTTTTGAACTTTTCATAACATCAATTTGCAGCCTTCGATTAATGTTTTCCCTACGCGTGTTGTAATAAGACAATGCCGTTTGCTATTTGTTTACATCCATTTTAATGTAAAATCCTTATTTTGTAAAATGTTTAATCTGATAATTTTTTGAGAATAAAATATGACTTTGTGATTTCATAAAACGTCAGATTATTGACTTTCAAGAACCAGAGGTGGTGGCTCTATCTATTGCAGAAAAGGTTCCAAAAATAGACAACAAATAGAAATGATAGTCTCACGATTCGTTCACTTATGGCATCTGCCACCCATTTCATGTAGACAGTGGTATCATAGCATATTTCAGTGAAACCCGAAATGTTTCTTCACGTCAAATGTTCTCGCGCCCCGTGTTCGAGTCCCGCCTCGGGCATGTAGGTCTACATGTGTGTGTTGTCCTTTCATCCCTCACCCCAACCATCATCATCTCATCGCCCATACTCCCAACCCTAGCAACCTTGGGGGATGAAAATCGGGATTCAGCTAAAATGCTCCCCCCCCCCTAGAAAGGTACTTGCACCTTCTGAAGCAGGATGAAAGCTTGGTCCGAGTTGGCCAATACGAGAAAAGAAAACAACTGGTTTTGTGTGGGCGGTGCAGGACCAACTCGGAGGAGACGTGGCGCGCCGAATCGAGGAAGGCGGCGGCCTTCTGGGACAACGCCACCGCCGCCGCCAACTCCACCGACGCCCCAGGGCTAGCGGACGCCGACTTCACCACAGTCCTCGGGGACGCGCTGCCCACGGCGGCCGCGCTGGCGCTCGCCGACGCCGCCTCCACCGTCACCGACGCAGTCACCGACGCCTTCACAGAAGCCTTCACGGAAGCCGTCTCACCGGAGGTAGGATTTTCATATTCTGCTGCCTCATGGGGCCTGTTTCGGAAACGTACTCTAACTCCCTCACACAGACACGCACTACGCTTCACTTGACGGGAGTTCGTCCCGACTGAGACCATGCCTCGCTGCGGGGGATCCCCGGATGGTGAAAGGTGACGTGTAGGTCGGCGTCGGATCTCACACTTGAATCGGGGGAAGAACACCGGCACTAACAAGAATATATCATGCACTGTGAAGGGGCTAAGGACCTAAGAAATTGACGCGTCTGTAAACAAAACAATTATTATTCTCCCTTCTTCTTCTTCTTCTTCTTCTTCTTCTTCTTCTTCTCCCTTCTTCTTCTTCTTCTTCCTCTCCCTTCTTCTTCTTCTTCTTCTTCTTCCTCTCCCTTCTTCTTCCTCTCCCTTCTTCTTCTTCTTCCTCCTTCTTATTCAAATTCCTTCTCCTCCTTCTTATTCATATTCCTCCTTCTCCTTCTTATTCATATTCCTCCTTCTCCTTCTTATTCATATTCCTCCTCCTCCTTTTTATTCATATTCCTCCTCCTCCTTCTTATTCACATTCTTCCTCCTCCTTCTTATTCATATTCCTCCTCCTCCTTCTTATTCACATTCCTCCTCCTCCTTGTTATTCATATTCCTCCTCCTCCTTGTTATTCATATTCCTCCTCCTCCTCCTTCTTCTTTTCTTCTTCGTATTACTATTATTGTTATTATTATTATTGATTGATTGATTGATTGATTGCGCTTCCCGTGTCCCGCAGGGCTGGGCGGCGTCGGGGGCGAACGCGTCGGGCGTGACGGGCGCGAACGCGACGCGCGCCGAGATCCCGTGGCTGCCGCCGGGGGCGCTGGCGCCCGAGGGCGGCGCGCGCTGGGCGGCGCAGGACGCGCTGCTGCTGTACGCGCTGCTGGTGGCCGCGTGCGCGCTGCTCACCACGCTGCGCGCGCTCGCCTTCTTCGCCGCCGCCATGCGCTCGGCGCGCGCCCTCCACGACTCGGCCTTCGCCGCCGTCGCGCGCTCGCCCATGCGCTTCTTCGACACCAACCCGGCAGGTCAGTCGCCCCGCCACGCCCTTCGGAGGCGCTTCCGCTGGCAAAGCAGCGCCGGTTTAAGCGTGACTTCACACTGTGTAATTTGGAGGCGCTACCGAGATGCGCTTCCCACTGTTTTGAGATGCTTTCGCACTGATCCATTCGGAGGCAGTTCCGCTATGTAGAATTGGTTTAAGAGTGCCTTCACACCGATCCATTTGGAAGCGCTACTGCTGGTAAAGGAGCATTGGTTTAAGGGTGCCTTCACATGGAGCCATTTGGAGGCGCTTCCGTTAGTGACGCAAAAGTGGTTTAAGGGTGCCTTCACACGGAGCCATTTGGAGGCGCTTACAAGTGGCATTTGCGCTGGTAGAGAATCATTGGTTTAAGAGTGCGTTCTCACGGAGCCACTCGGTTGCGCCACCGACAAGGAGAGCCCCTCATACGCAGCCACCGCCGACCGACAATGACCGCGAGAGCGGAAGGTTTCGTGAATCACAACGCTGTGGACTCAGGCGATCGACAGGCAGTAGGCAAAAAGTGCGTAAGTGGCCGTCTAGTGTGAACGCTGCCAATTAGATTGTTTTATTAGCGCAGGTGCGGACGCGCCTTTGCGCTTCTGGTGGCGGGAGTTCGCCGCCGGGAGACTCTTCCGCGGAACCCCGCTACTCATATGAATAGCCCGTTTACACCAATGCTTTGTCAGCAGACGCGCCACTCGGAAGCACTGCTGAGTGGAGCTTGTGATGGAGCCCTTAATGGAGGCATTCATACGAGCGTCGCAATGGTGCTGCTGCTGCGCGTTCTGGCGCACTCCCGCCCCCAGCAGCCTTGCCACACCATTGTCAGTCTTCACCCTATGCCAATCGGAAGCGCCACTGAGTTTAACCTTTTACATGTTGACTGCCTTGCGGACGCTGCAGTGGCGGCCACAGCGGTGGCACGAAACCGTCCAATTCGCTTTTATAGTGCTGCTGGTCGGATCTAAGCGAAGGGGTCTGCTGCTTTTTGGAAGCACTGCCGAGTGAATCCGTGTGAAGGCAGCTTAAGCCACGATTTCTCCAGTGGGTAGTCCACTCGGCGAGTCGTGCTAGTGGATCTCCCTCTTTTCTATTTATTCATTCCTTGTTTTATTTATTAACTTTTTGGCTTTCAATTTGATTGTGTGCTATTTTATTAATAGTATGTTCTTCTATTCAAGATTTCTCGTGCTTAGCTGCACTTTTTTTCATACGAAACTTCGGATTGTATTACTTCAATTTAAGTTAATATATTTTAGTAGAACCTTTCTAAAAATACTTTCCTAAAAATTAAAACTTTCTTTTACAAATTCTGACAAAAACGAGCTTTATTCATAAAATATATGGATGGGAGAAAACCCTAATGGTATAGTGACATTTTATACATTCTGAGAAATTTATATATTTATGTCAATATCACTTTTACGTCGTGGTGCGTTGTTTCATCATTAAAACCAAGGCATTTCAGTTGCTCATTAAAATCACCAAAATACATTGTTACTGAAATATAGCCTGAAATAAACACGGTTTTTCTTCAAATTTATAGAATGTCACTTATACCATTCTGGTATTCACGCATTCATATAGAATGTTTATAGAATTTTCTAAATAATCTCAAAGCACATTATAAAATTTTAATCCATATAAAGAAACACATGGTCTTGAATTTCCTTTTACTTTAGAAATGTATCTGCCTTCGAAAGTTTTTGAAAACAAAATGTTAACAACCTGACATTTATGCTCCTGCAGGTCGTATTCTGAACAGATTCTCCAAGGATCTGGGCTCTATCGATGAACTCTTGCCCAAGGCAATGCTGGAAGCCATTCAGGTATGACGATACCCCATTTTTCTCATAATTGAAGTAATCTTACATAAATAGCTTTTCTTTTATTCGATAGGTGGAGAATAATGTATTTCATCAAAATGAATGAATAATTTCATTTAGTTTAATGTCACACCATTATTAAAAAGTCGTAACACAAAAAGTAAGTCGGTAATATTGCGTACAATTTTGCAGCTCTTGCCATTGAATTTAAGCACCAGTTCATTAAAAATATATTCGTTCCTGTGTACTTCAATTTAATAACTAACAATATTACAGTACGATGCTAAAACCAAAACGCGCAATAGCACATTCACCTCTTTTTATTGGCTTGTTGTAACCACCTCAATAAAGGATTCCACAAGTAATATTTTATACTTCCAACACTCCGTCGCCAATAAAAGATCGCCCTCCGTTGCGCAGGTGTTCCTCGTGATGATGAGCATCCTGGTAATGGTGATCATTGTGAACGCGTACTTCATCATCGTGGTGGTGGTGCTGGGCTTCATATTCTACAAACTGCGCACTCTGTACCTGGCGACGGCGCAGGACATCAAGCGACTGGAAGGCATCAGTGAGTAGACTCCCTCCAGATTCGTGCTTCCTCTAAAGTTTTACACAAATTAATTTAGTTTACTCGATCTCCATTGTATTAATCGCTCTTTACTCTTATGTAATAAGGGATTATTAAAGGTAATTATCCACGCACTGAAAATAAAGCCCCTCTATCTTTTTTATATTAATATTAATTATCTTGAACTTAATCTCGTATTATAAATATAATTTAGAGAATCGTGTGGGTAGGTTAATAAAAAGTAGTATTTTTACAGTTCTAACGTTTCGGTCATTTATTTGGCCTACTTCATGGTTATAAATATACAATAACATAAAAGATAAAAGTACACAAGATAAAAGTACAAGTAGTTCAATTGTTTAACCTGATCATTACACAAGAATAACAAAATATTTAAAATACAATTTGTTTTACTCCAATAACACATTCACCTATTTTTAAGGGTGAGCTGTAACCCCTTTAAAAACTGACTTTTTATTGACATACTCTCACGATTCTCTACATTATATTCAGACTAATTGTGTTAGTAATATTATTGAAGAGTTAAACTTCTTAAGAAATATACAATCTGAGTCATTTCAGGCGTTACAAAACGCACCACCTTCTTCT